GCTTCTGGTCCTGCAGTTTCCGGTCCTGCAGCTTCTGATTTTGGAGCTTTTGGTCCTGCAGCCACAGAGGCTTTTCATGCAGCCTCCAGGGCCCATCTTTTTATATTTGACACTGAATCTCAGGAAGAAGACTCCCATCCCCTCACTTGTGACAATGCTACAGCTCTGTTCAACCCACAGCCACTAGTGAACAAAGACGCTGCACCATCGATCACTCAGGTCCAGTTAGAGGAAGATATGCAGCAACTCAGAGCGCTGATGAAGCAAACCAATCAGGTGAGTGTTCCATTTGTTTTTGCAGTGTGAGTTAGACTCTATGATATTTGTGTTTTTCTAAAAGATAAATGCACAGGTCTTACTGCACTTATTTACTCTTTCTTCTTGAATACATACTCATACATTGAATACATACATACATACATACATACATACATACATACATACATACATACATAATCTCCACTAATGGTTTCTCTTCTAGGACTTAGTTGATGTGACTAAAGCCCTGTTGAGGACCAGTGGAGATTTCTCTGCTGCGCTGGAACTGCTTTTGAATCCCTACGACATTAATGGATCCTTTTGGAATCGCTATGATGACGGTCTTTTGATCTCCGCTGATCCTGTTGTCCGCCAGCAGCTGCAGGAGAAGTACGGTGAGAAGGAGTTGGCCAAAAGAATAGTGTTTCTCGAGCTGGAGGGATGAAGGAGGAGATCTAGAGATTTGAACATTCCCATTATTTACATAAAATAACTAGTGTGGCAGTTATCTCATATTTATTCTGACTTTCTCTGACGAACTTCGATTAAATCAAATTGGAGACATTTGAGGATAAGGAGTTTTAAAAAAAATTCTAAGTTTGTATGTCGATGACAGGATCTATTGGGCAATTCTCAATTCCTTTGTGAACAGAAGCTTTTAATGCATTTCACGATGGGAATACTTTTATCATTTTGTTTTTTTAATGTTTTTGTTTGTCTCATTAAATCGCTGGAAATTCAGTTTTTATAACTCATGCTGTCATTTTTTAAATATGTTTTGTGCT